GGGTAAGATAATGATCATGTATTTAATAGAGTTACAAATGAATTGTTTGGATGCATCCGTAGGGTAAAACTAAACATACCTATAATGACCACGTTTCTGAAATAGTTGGAACAGTTAGAATAACAGGCATAGCTTATAGTTAGCAATGAAAATGGTGCTCTTATTCAGGGTGCTGGAATCGAATGGTGCTGTCAAAAAAATTGAGAATTGTCGCGAATTTGAGATAAGAAATGAGTTGTTTGGGACCTGCATAGTCCCTAGTGTCAAATCGACGACAGCTTGAAAATCTACATACTCACTCAGAACCCGATTTTTTGTAAATACCACAGTTATACATGTATATGATTTTCTGAAAATATTCTCATGAAACTATGAGACCTTATTTGACAAAATTTTCGTTTTTGACCGTCGTTGTTACGAATGAACGAGAAACGAAGTACGAGTTGTTTTTATTTTCTCGTTCTGTGCCCGCAGCTCTGACGCCACTGGATCGATTTTCATAAGCGATGAAACTTTTCTGTTGTTGATATAGTGATGACCTCCAAAAATTACATCAAAATCCTATCAGTGAAGGACCCCTAACTTCGATTGGCGGGCAGAAAGAACTACTTACTGGCAGACAGCCAGATGGACCGACCGAAATGGGTTGACAGAATGGTTGTTCGGGACGTATGTATATACATATCATGTAACTTCCAAAAACATATATCTTATTTCTTCAATCCTCAGCAATTTGGAATCTCCCGTGAATCCTAGTGTGAAATTGAAGTCGGATTCGAAATGTATGTACCTGATTTAAACGAGTTTTTGTAAAAATTATTGATAAGCGGACGATATTGTAAGTTTTCTTATAAGAGAGTCAAAAATAAAATTTTTAAATGTAAAATAAGTTTTTTTTTGTTTTTCGAATGAGTTAAGCTTGATACGTAATTTGGGACGCTCAATTCAAATATGACTGTCAAAATACCGTGAAGTAGCCAGGGACAGGATTTGTCATCGGAGTAAGAATTTATGTATCCACTTTAGCAAGCAATCAAGTATTTGTAGATACCACAGCGGATACGAAGGGGTTTTAGAAAAGCTTTTTCATAGAAAACCTCTAAACATTTGATTGCTGGGTCGAGTTATTTCAATCGAATAAAACTAGGTCATTTGGAGAGCTGAATTCGGCAATCAACTGTTTTCCTCTAGATAATATATATTTAATTAACAGGTCAACAAAATACATGATTATGCATTATTTCCCAGCAACTGTTACTGAGCATGATATTAGTTTTAACTTTTCCCAATGTACAACAACAAGGGAATAACAAATGAAAATTAATCCACGCCTTGAGCAAGCTGAAATAAGCTCGTACATGTAAATTAAATAATAGAAGTTGTTAAGGGATAGTTGGCACCGGGAGTGGGACTTGTGTTTAGCTAAACCAAGACCATGAATCTTACAAACTGAGAATTTTAGTTGGTGCTAAGCTATAGGTTTCATCGCTTTGTCACAGAGACGCAAAATGTTCATAAATAGTCGCGATAAACTATACATATGTCAACGTTGTTCACCTCCTAAACGTTTTCCAAGATTCCGAGCTCCCTTTCCTAATGAAGATGCCTTTGGGCTTAGTGAAAAACCTTTTGAAAACAAGTTTGTGAAGGCATTCATTTCAACAAAATAATCTGTTGTTAGGTTCTCCATATCATTAAAAAATCAATCACAAAATAAACTTAATGGACGACAGCGTTTTTTCTCCCGATAATGATTCGGAGAGCGACTTTTCTTTCAGTCTTCACTTTTTCCTGAAAGCTAATAGAACCACGTCCACTCTCAGTTATTCTACTCAATAATTTCCAGAATTGCCGTCGCGTGTTCTGTAAATAATTGACGAGAATATACAGTGCTTTTGAAAGAGTTCCTCCTCAGCGGTACCTATTTTTTTGAACTTGTTAAGTTAGCAAGCTGAAATTAATTCATAAGCACTATATTTAGGCATGCGCGGTAGGGCGCACAGCCATCATCTCGAAAGCTCTGAGTATAACTTTAAGGGTAAAATATTGTACCCATGCATCGACTTTATTGTACCGAATTTCAGATAGCTAATTTTCCCCTTTCAGAAAATAAATTGGAGTGACCTTTTTGGAAGCGCATTTGAAATTACAAATTATACAGTATATTTGTACAACTTGTCCCCGTTCAGATGATTGTACACGCGTTAGGGAATACCTCAGTACCGATTGCCGGGTGGCGGTACAAGTCCGCCAATGGACCACTTTAGGTCTATTTATCAACATTAATACGCAACAAGATGGTCGTAGACAAGGACCAATCGACCAAGGCGGTACCACCCGCTAGCTTTTTCCAGGCTGTCTTAAGAATGTCTGCATGTTTCCACACCTAAGCTATGCAGTCGACTATCTTCCCCAACAAAGGAATTAATGATGAAGGATCCCTCGATTGCTAAGCATTTTGAACGTGAACTCACTCCATTCTTGGAATGTCCGGGTAGAGGGTGGACTCGAGGGAACGACATCGATGTTTCACGAAGATTTGCGGGATTAACAGCAGCATTGATGCTGTTCATCACTAGCTGCAATCTAATCGCCCCGCTTTCCTTTCCTTGGCGGAGAAGATTCTTCAATCTATAAAAGAGCGGGAAAGTTGTGACTTTTATCCGCAGCCGTATTTCCTGCTGCAGAGGTTTCTCTGGAATCAAACCGAAAGAATATTCTATGGCTTCGCCTCAACTCCAAAACATCCTCAAAATTTATTTACTACGTTTCTCGATCTCCCTCGGACCATAACCTACCTGAATACCTCGCTGTCAAGTTCGACTTCTTGAACATCAATCACTCCGCTTCAGAAGAAATTCTCCTCTGTGATTTTAGTGTCCATAATGAGCTTTGGTTGGGCTCAAACAACGCCGATGAAGCAGGTCGTGCAATTAAAGCGTTCGCTATCACCCAAGGACTGACCCAGCTGGGGATCCCTTTCTAACCCCGCAACCTGTCCCTTACGACACTGATATCCTGTCTCCCCTGCATAACTGAGACCGCGGTGATGTGGAGGTTAGGGGTCTGATCCCGCTGTGGCAGCATAAATTTGCCCAGGCCGGAATATTTGGCATTATGGTCAACCCGACTCTGAGAGTCTCAGTAACTTCTTCACCTTTCCTTCTGGCTTCCTGTTCATCGATAACCGAAATTAACCAGGTTGGGATGGAGAAATATATCCCTCATACAGTAAAAGTGCCTAAACCAGGGTCCAACGGCTGGTTCAACAAATCGTGCGATAATGTTCGTCAGCAGAAGATCAAGGCACACAGAACCTTCTTATAAACCCCCACTGTAGAGAACGGACAAGCCGATATCTGCTCATGCCCAAGCCCTCCCGAAAAAGGGATCTAAGACCGACCCTCACAGCTACAGGTCTACCTTCTGTTATTAGTAAGGTGATGGAGAGGTGCATAAATTGCGAGCTTCTGTATTACCTCGAACGTTACTGCTTGATTAGCGACAGGCAATAGAATTTCCGGCACCTGCGATCCATAGAGGACCGCCTAGCTCACGTCACGCAATTGTGCGTGTGATCTTATCCAATCTTATGGTGAGACTTAAGTTGTTGTTCTTGATATCACGAAAGCGTTAGATCAGCTGTGGCACGCTGCGCTCTTACGCAAACTTCCTTCCTATGTCCACCCAGAGATGCTTTGCAGATGGGTGACTGACTGGCCCCAAGATATCCGTCATAATTGACGGGTTCCCCTTTTCATTCCATAACGTCAACGCGGGTGTTCCTGAGGGATCAGTCTTAGCTTCGACACTGTTCCTTTTATATCTCAACGTGCCCCTTTCCTGTACGATCAATCCAATTCACAGCTTTGTTGATGACATCACACTAGATGCAGGAATTCGGCGCGACAAACCGATATCTGCCGGTGAGCTGGAAAAAAGAGCACTAGCAGCGACTTCATCTCTAACGAGAGACCTGGAGGTTATCATGCTTGGGGACGCAACAATGTTGTACAGTTTATTGCTTCCAAAATACAGTATTTATAGTACCTTGATGAATAAAAAACGTCCGGTTTCGGTGTATGGCCGAGTTCTGCCAAAGGGTCGTTCATTTCAGTTGGTCGGAGTCGAGATCACCGAGGACTTGATATGGCACGCACACGTTTTGTCATTAGCAGCACCTCCTGGGAAAAAGTTAGGCTATTTGTTTAGGGCTAAGAACTACTTTTCTCTCTGTACAAGACCCAGATAAGACCTGGGCTCAAGTATTGCTCATACTTTGGGGTTCCGCTGCCCTGACTACACTGTTCATGCTCGATACTGTCCAGGGGAGGGCTATCCGAGTGATCGATGTCTCTTCTCTAGGTGACAGTCCCGGGACCCTTTCGCACTGGCGGGCCGTCGGCGATCCAGCTCTCTTCTACCGCTACACCAACGAGCTTTGCTCCTCAGAGCTCTCCTCCATGACGCCGCCGCGCGATGTGCCTGCCAGGCAGACCCGCTTGACTTCAGCTTCCCATCACAACAGTGTCGAACTTCGTACATCCAGAATTGACCGATACGACCACTGATTTGTCCCAAAGGCGACGAGATTGTGGGACAATCTACAAGAGGAGGCTTTTCCCAGTTGTGCTAACCTCAGGCAGCTCAAAAATCGGATTAACAAAATTTCTTTGGGATCCTCATAGCAGCCGCTGTTTCCTGGCATTTGGACTTTCGCGGTTGGTTCAGTGTAAAAAAATAGTTTTGAATACTTTTAGTTTGTGCCGGTTGAATATAATATGTGGTTTCATTTAACCAGATGTTCATGGAGTTGTATAAATATGAAAATCACAGGATTAGTTTCAGGTGTTACATTATCTTGGAATAGGAATTCGCCTTATACATGTAGCTCGAAATACAAAATGACTCAGTGTATCAAGGAACTGAACCTAACCCTTCGCAACTACGATAAATCAAATGCATGGGTTATATGCCACTAGTTTCCTAAAAGACCTAGAGTTCGCTTTATTGGTCTCAACACATTTATTGTTAGTCAGAATTAAGGCTTTTTGCACATAGTAACATTATAATAATTTTGGAAAAGTACAATCCATTTGACTGGTTTTTTGATTTTACATATTGCGAATAAATATCCCTCTGTAAAACGAACAAGTACTCCTGTACTCCCATTACCCTAAGACGAGCCCCTGATGCGTTCATTCCAATAACCAACACTGCTCTATGACGATACGACATCACTCTCAGACAATGGGGCTTCGTATATTATACAGCTCCTATAAAGTAAACATATTATACATTTAGAAGGTCTTACATTGTTCCAGATATTCCAATAAAAGTTTTACAACCTCCGTCTTCGCCATTTGTGCTCCGTGTAATTTTACAATCTTTCACAGAGACAGCATCCAAGACCAACTCTGCTATCGTAACACAGAGATCTGAAGTGATAATTGTGAGAATGTTAGCGGGTGTGGCTAGATCGTGGATATGCTTATATACAGGATGGTGTCGTTCTGCAAAGGTCTATGCGTATGTGTGCGTAACTTTAACGACAAAACGCTTTGGCTAAAGCAATCAAGTTTGATACGTATGAATAAGTAGATTAAAGATTTGCACAAGTACCTGCTATAATTTACAAAAAACAACAATACAAAAAGAATGTATAAACGATAGCAATCTAATGATATTTTATAAATTTTATAAAACTGATTAACGTTTCAACCACAAAAAAAAGTAAATAAACATTACAAAGCATGATAAACCAGGTCATAAACCTAATTCATAGCCACTGAAGACATCAACTAATTGTTCAGCAAGTACTTCAATCTTTTTTTAAAGTTGATAAGTAGCAGGTGTTCAAGGTCATCTTGCAAGGAGATGTACAGCATAGCGGCACTATAGGAAAAGCTTCTGGCAAAGATAGCCGTGGTGTGACGAGGAATAAGTAGCATTAAATATTTGTTAAATATTCTCAAGAAATTTTTGTTAAATATTTGTAGCCACAGATATTTTAATATTTCATAAATATATCCAATATATTATTATATATAATATTCATTATAGATATTTGTAGTATAGGGTTATCCAAATTAAGTGTCCACCATTAGTAACTTTGTTATTAGTGAAAATACAAAGTTGTTTAAATCAGCAAACTAGTAGCATTTTTAACGCTGGTAAAAATGAGAAATAAAAAAAACAATTGAGAGTCGTTATTTTGATTTTTTTCAGTAAAATAACATTTTTTTAAATGGAAACCTCTGTATATTATATTTTTTTCTGTTAAAGCATCAAATTTTAAACAAAAAAGTTCATAATGACTTTTCCGCTAAAGTCAAAAATAAAGTCAAAATAACGATAAATATTTTTAATTATTTGCAGTATTATAATATTAAGACGGCTATGAAAACAACATGGCGTTCGCGATTTGACAGCATTAAGATAAGCGACAAATTGTTAAACTGGACATACTCGCAACTAGAAGGCTTTGGAAAACAATGATAAAATCAAATAATGTCAAACATTAGTGTAAATACTTGTTTATAAGCTTTATTGTGTCATTAATTTAAAGAAAAATGTTCTCCCATGAAGAAAAGTGTGATATGTTAGAATGCTATTTAGTGTGCAGAAAATCCTCCTTGAGAGCAAGAGAATACTACAGTGAATTATATCCCGCTCGCATTCAACCGTATGAACGATATTTTCTGAGACTTTATCGAAGATTTAGGGGCAACGAAAATGTTTTTGCTAAAACAAGGGCAAAAAAAGAATTCATAATAAGCGAGGCCACGGAAATTGCAGTTATTGGATATTTTGAAGCTTATCGTGAGAATTCAATAGCAGATATTCTCAAGGACTCTAATTTCAGTTATGGTACTGTTCAAAGGATTTTAAAAAAATACAAATTTATTCCGTATAAGTACCGACCAGTTCAAACGCTTTTGGCAGGGGATCCAGAGAGAAGACTTGTTTTTTGCCATTGGTATCTTAGCTTCTGTCGCCAAAATGTAAATAACTTTCGTTACCTTTTATGGACAGATGAATCAAATCTTTCAAATTCTGGAATGTTTAATAGAAAAAACCACCATTATTGGTCAAGAGAAAATCTTTTGTTAGTACATCCAAGAGGCCCTCAAGTCCGTTTCAGTTTCAACGTTTGGTGCGGTATAATTGGTTCAAAAATTGTTGGCCCTAACTGGTGAAAGATATGTGGAATTTATGTCAGAAATTCTGACTAATTTCTTAGACGAATTGGATCTTATAAGTAGACATCATCTGCATTTTCAGCAAGATGGCGCACCTGCCCACAACTCCAGAGGTACTTATCATTTTCTAAGTACTACTTTTAATGATCAGTGGATAGGAACAAATGGCCCAATACAGTGGCCTCCCAGATCACCAGATCTAAACCCACTTGATTACTTCTTGTGGGGTTACTTAAAGAACCAAATTTACAAGCGAAGGTACGATAACCTTGACGCGTTAAAGACTGCAGTTAGGGAAAAGATAACCCAGATAGATGGTAGGACCATACTTAAGACAGTTCGAGCAGTTGAAAAACGTGCCCAAAAATGTATTGAAGAACAAGGTGGTGTTTTCGAGCATCTTCTTTAAAAAAATTGTTATTGTATTTTGTAAGATTATAAGTTGATGTTGAAAATAAAGTTTGTCGATAATATTTAATTGTTTCAGATTGGAGGCCATAACTTCAACAATTTGTAACCTAGGAGAAAAGTTATTGTAAGTTTTTTGTTTAAAATTTGATGCTTTAACAGAAAAAAATATAATATACAGGGGTTTCCATTTAAAAAAATGTTATTTTACTGAATAAAATCAAAATAACGACTCTCAATTGTTTTTTTTTATTTCTCATTTTTACCAGCGTTAAAAATGCTACTAGTTTGCTAATTCAAACAACTTTGTATTTTCACTAATAACAAAGTTACTAATGGTGGACACTTAATTTGGATAACCCTGTATATGATTCATATATTTTTTCCAAATATTTAGAAAATATATGACGAAACATTTTTAAATATCAATTTTATATTTTGATGAAATATCTAATATTTTCCGTAAATATGTATGGATTTTCAAGCATTAATCTGATACATATTTTCAGTGTATGTAGAAATTTATTCATTGGTTGCTTTAGCAAAATCTGTAGGAATGCTTTTATAAAATTGGGCTTATAAAGCAAATTCATTCTAGATATAATTTTTTAATTTGCTAGAAAAATATCATGAAAAAACATTCGCCTCTTCTGCGAATCCAGTCCTCTGAAAAAGAACTTACTAATTATGAAGTATTATTGAATACATAAGCTGCTTTCCAGAGTATTCATGGGGAAACTGCAGTGGAACAGTATTGGTGCTGAGCACTCCTGAATTACTCCAAGTAGCTCAATAGTAGCTCTATAATGCACCCAAAAGACCCCATATTTTCTTACTATGAGACTTCTAGATTTGGTTAATTTTTAAGAAAATTTGATATGCTATTTTAGATATATTGATGGAAAATGTCCATGGGTACAACTTGATACTACTACTCTCAAAGAGGTTTTTATAAATAGACCTCTTATTAATTTTGTTGAAATGCGGCTTTTTCAGTAGTAAGGGGGCTAATTTAGCTATAACTATTCTGTGATTTTATATAATGATCCAAGGACAAACGTATAGTATTTTCGACTGTTAAAATTTTGAAACGTCGCTGTTGAACTTTAAAATCTCAAAATAGTTACAGCCTACCAGGACAAAAATAATAATAATAATAATGAGATATTTAATCATAATAATCTTTTTTGATGTATCTCGATCGAGTTGCGATTATATGACTTTTCATTGGGATGCTAAGAATATATATAGTTTTCGTATCCTTTTTCAGATAAATCCACCAATCCCAAATAGCAAATAACTGTTACACATCAAGGCTAGTTATTTATGACTTTGTAAATACCTTCATACTCAACTGGCACGATAAGGTTTACTGGTCCATCCGGCAAATAGCCCGACCTGTAGATTTACTCCTAGGAGTCATCGCACAAAGGCGAGTCAAGTCCTACGCGGACGCAGCAAGAGATGACACCTCAACTGCCCCTGCTGTTTCGAGCTTATCTACGACTACTCAAAATGTGGACTTAGCAACAGCGCTCAGGTCCCTACAGCAGATTATTAGTCCCCTGATAAGCGCCACTAAGGCATTGTAGGCGATCTTTCCGCTAAATGGCTAGGTTCAATAGCAGACACCCTGAATTCATCAAAACTTTTCTGGAATTGTTTGGATCTTAGGGATGTCCCCAAAAAACGGGAATTTCATCAAGCTCTTTTGGATGAGAACGTAGATGTAGCTCTGCTGCAGGAAACATTGCTTAATCCGGGAGATCGTCTAGCTTTCCCGAATTATGATGTTATCCGCGCTGATAGATTAACTGGACGGGGTGACGGTTTGGCAGTGCTAGTAAAACGTGGTATTCACTATTACAGAAGCACAAACGCTGAGATGCAGAGCATCGAGGCAACTTCGGTAGTAGTGAATATGACGGGAGGTATCTCGTTGAAAATCACATCGGTTTATGTCAGATGTGGTGCCAGGCTGCAAGAGACGGATCTGGAAGTCCTGTTTGACTGCTCGGGTCCGCTTATTGTAGCAGGGGACTTTAACTGTAAACATCGAGCATGGCACTCTAGGTTAAATTTCACCAGTGGAATTCGACTTTACAACCATGTGATACGAAACGGCTACCTCATACACAGCACTGAGGAGCCGACTCACCACCCGTTTAATCACCTTCAGGCACCAGATGTCATTGACTTCGCGATATCTAGAAACTGTAGATTCAGTCTCACTTCTCGAATCATGTATGACATTTCGAGCGATCATATTCCTATCGTACTGGAAGTGGGTAATGAGCAAACCTTGGAAGGGGAAACTCTTCCAAGGGAAAGGTTTGATTGGGAGCGATACAAGTCGCTCCTTAGAGAGTTCCCTAATATCCCGATCATAGATGATGAGAACGTTATAGATGCTGCTCAAGCGGAGTGGACAAATTCCGTTCAGCAAGCTCTGCAGCGTGCAGCTGTACTACCAGTACGACGACACGGCAGACCTTTTCTCCCTGCAGATATTCGTCAGAAAATTTCCGACAAAAGAGCTGCAATTAAACAAGCGAAGAGGTCTTGTCACTCAGATGAAATTCACAGAACAACGAATCTTGTTCATGGAGTAAGAAATGCTCTTCATGAATTCCGTAATGAACAATGAAGCGACTTTCTGTCGGGGATGCTTGACAAAAGTATTCCTCTCTGGAAAGTTGCAAAGTCGCTCAGAAACGGTAAGCGAGAACAACTCCCGCACACCCACGGTCTTAGGGGCATAGTCTGTAGGACAGAGGAAAAGGTCGAGGTTTTCGCTGATGCAATGGAAAGTCAGTTCTCTCCCAACTACGACCTTGATAATGACCTCGACGAGGAGCAACGTATTGTTGTCAGGAGATATTTTAGGGCCAACGGCGTCAGTGGCAGTAGTGCCTCCCTTAGTGATTTTTCCTCAGTTGAATCTTCAGAAGATTCCTCAGTTGAAGAGATGCACGGCACATCAGCGGAATCTCCTGAGACCCTCATTGCACACCACCAGAGCTCCAAGGTCATATTAAAGACCTCAAGGTGCGTAAAGCACCTGGAGAGGATCGAATCGCTAATAAGGCGCTGAAGCTACTTTCGCGGAAGTCCTTAAGTTAGCTCGTGGCAATAATCAATGCCATGCTGAGGACCCAGCACTTCCCAACGGCGTGGAAGACCGCTGATGTCATAATGATTCCAAAGAAGGTGGGTTCGATATTCCCTCAGGATTACCGCCCCATTAGTCTACTGTCAGCTCCTTCTAAGCTCGCTGAAAAGGTGATTCTACGTGACCTTGAAAATTTCTCGGCAGACCACAATGTGATTCCAGACGTGCAGTTTGGCATTAGGTCTGAGCATAGTACGGAGCTACAGGCCATAAGTCTTGTTGAACGAGTAACCAGGGGGTTCACCCGTAACAAAAGTACTGGCATCTTGCTACTGGATGTCTCAAAGGCATTTGACAAGGTGTGGCAAAAGGGCCTTCTCTACAAATTGATCCATAAGGGCTTCCACTTCTGGCTCCTAAAACTTTTTAAATCCTTTCTCGAGGGTATGAAATTTCGGATCAAAATTAATAACGTTCTGTCGACAACACGGCCCATCAAAGCCGGTGTCCCTCAGAGTTTGGTTCTTGGACCAGTCCTTTATTCAGTATTTATTCATGACGTCCCTTGCCCCAGCAGCTGTGAAACCTATCTCTATACTGATTACACTGCGCTGGTGGCCCAGTCGTGCTCTGGGGATCTAGTTCACGACAGGCTGCAAAATGCAGTGGACGAGGTATTGGAATGGGCGAATCGGTGGCTGATCAAAATTAATCTTTCAAAAACGCAGGCAATCTATTGTACTAAAAACCGTAGCGGCGCGCCGTCTGAGGTTTCAGTGAATGGAGCTCGGGTACCGTGGGAAAACTCTGCTAAGTATCTCGGTGTCACTCTTGACAAGGGGCTAGCCCGGCAAAAGCACACTGAAGCGTTAAAAACTAAATTCCAAATCTCGTTTGGGCAACTCTACCCTATGCTATTTAGGACATCAAAATTGAGTTTGATCAACAAAGTTCGGCTATACAAGATGGTTATTAGACCAGCGATCACTTACGCAAGTGCGGCTTGGTGTTTTCTCGCCAAAACGCATTTGCGTAGCCTGCAGGTTTTGCAGAACAGAACCTTGCGTACAATCACTAACGCCCCATGGTATTTTCCAACGAGACCCTTCACAGAGACCTTGACATCCCTTACCTACTACTACATCAAACAACAAGCGCAGCTACAGTCAAGCAGAATCACATAACAACCCTTTGTTGCGCGAGTCAGTAGGCTACACAGTCGAGCAAGTTCGCAAGCACACAAGGCCGCGACTCGCACTGTGAACAAAATTAAATCGTGCGACTTTAGGTCCAACAAAATTATAATTTTTCTTCAACAACCAACCCAAAATTAATTTTAGGATCAATTTGAATTTGCCGAATACTAACTAGCAATGCCAAGGCACCCAATTGATGCACTTCTTTTTTCTTTGCTCTCCCTCCTTCCTTCCTTCCTTTCTCCTTCCCTTCCTTCTCCCTGACCTTGTTTGGTATCTGGGCAACCAGACCTGACAGACCTATTGACTTACAATACCTCAAACAAGAGCAAAGGTCCTACGGACCGCTCTGACAGACAATGACGAATAGTATACTTTCCCTCCATCAATATTTTCAGAGATGTCATGGGAGTGCTGTGCTGAGATCGAAAGCCAGATTGAACAGAGGTAAGTATCTTATGCTCGGCAACGAATCCGTTCTTGCATTGCATCGGTTGCGATCATAATTTGACGTTATGGGCGTACCACACTAGCCATTAAATGCGACCATGATACAATTGACGATTTTCTAGTGGTCATAGCCTCATTTCTAATTAACAAGCTTTTGAAAATCTCTCGGCCTCTGTGATCTTTATTGCAATTTATTTCTTGGGTTAATCTGGTGCGTAGATTCCAAATCTGGTATGAAGTTCACTTTAGGACCAATGTCGCGTCCCAAATTAACCATTTTCTGTATGAAATTCGGACCCACTTTACGATTTTTTTAAGGTAGACGCTCATGTGTGACTCAGACATTTGCTTATAAAATCCACCAGCGAAAAGCAAGCTTATGCTGTTGTTAACCTCCTTGAGGGGTAAATACCGTTTTTAGATACACCAATTTGGGTCGAAAAAGATTCATAAAAGTATTATCAAATACAATGTACTATTTTCACTGTACAAGTTGAAAATGTAAAACTAACGTATTTCAATTCCCTCAGAAAGGTACCACAAAGCTAGGTGACGTTTCTAATGTCAAAATGGTATTCCCTTTCATATCTTTTGTGGCCTACCATTCCGAAATGTTTAAGAAACTCCGTGAAAATAAAACTAAAATGCATACCTCGAAATGTTGTGTAATAGGATTTGGATGTGCAAATAGTTCGTTTACGTTATGTAGACAGTTGACAATTATGAAAACATAATCATCAGGCGTACATTTGTGATCATCTTGTTTTAACACAGCCACCATCATAAGCTTTTGGCTTATACCCGGTTAAAATTGATGATATTCTCTAACGAATTCATTAATTTCACCAAGTATGCCTATCTACAGGTATAAATAAAAAAAGCATTTACTGTTATCTAATTGATAACACAGTAAGTACTACGCCATGTTGTTTATCGCACGTTCGGCATCAGGCTCCGCATATACAGTTCATTTGAAAAATTCACACCATGGAAAAGATGCCGACACACGTCAACAGATCTGTCAAGGGGGACAACTTTTTAACCAAAAACTACTTCACCACCTTTCACCCTTGGCCCCCCAGGGTCATTCCCTTAAAAACTTTAAAAGACAAGGGGTATCGAGTAATCGCTTGTTTAAAAGGTCTTTTGAAGTTCTTTATTTGGACGTTCGATTTTTTAAAATCAGTCGATTCGTGTCCAAGAAAATGAGAAAAATCTTTATTTATCTTAATTTCTTCAGATAGTAAACAAAAACACACTAAGATATCACTTTACGTTTTAATAATTTTTTCAAAATATTGCCCGTAATATTGCCAAATCTACAATACGTTTATAATTTAAAACGGAAACTACTAACATGACCAGCAATTCGCAAGGTTAGACGTGACAACAACCAAATTACAACCCGAATTTTCTTAGTGTAGTTAGTGTGTGTAGTTTTGAGTGTATTTATTGTTGTACCTGTTTAGTTATTTGTTGCTTGGAGAAATAAAAAATTAAATTTGCTGTCAGTTACCTTTGAGACAATCTTGGGGTAGTGAACATTAACTTGTTGATTAAGATTTTACTTCCAAATGGTTTACACGCTAGCCGAAAAAGTGGAAATGATTCTCATTTATGTTGCCCAAAATTAATGTGCTCGGCAAACTGCCGTCCCGTTTAACGCCAGACATCCGGAGAAGATAACTTCACCTAGGTATATTTAGGACCTTGTTCAATTCATTCAAACTGAATCTGTTACAAATAAACAACGTGATCATCGGAGGGTTTTGGATGAAGGCGCTCAAGTTGAAGTTTTGAGTCATCTTGGAATAAATCCTAATACATTACGCAAAATTGGTGCTGCGACTGCTATTTCATTAGGCTCTGTACACAGTCATTAAACTCCATAAAGTCCATCCATTCAAAATGAAAATATTGCAAAAGTTAACCGAAGATGATTCCGATAGGCGAGTTGAGTTTTGTGAACAAATGACTGCAGCGATTAATGATAATACCATTCAGGTAAAGAATATTTGCTTCAGTGCTGAATGCAGATTTTATCTCAATGGATTTGTTAATAAGCATAACTGCAGGTATTGGAGCAATGAAAGTCCTCGGGCTTTTGTAGAAGGGCATACCAAGTACCTCCAAAAAATTAATGTATGGGCAGGCATTTTAGGAAACAAAGTGATTGGGCCGTTGTTTGTTAATGACAATTTGAATGTAGACATTTATTTGGATATGTTGGAAAATGCATTCAATCCACTTATCATTAAAACCATTGAAAACCAAATCGAAGAGGATGGAAACCCTATTCTTGATGAGACTGAAATACGAGTATATTTCCAGCAAGACGGCGTTCCTCCTCACTATCTTCTTTCAGTTGGGCAATGGCTAGACGACGAGTTTCCAGATAAATGGATAGGGCGAAGAGGACCTATAGAATGGCCTGCTAGATCTCTTAATTTGACGCTATTAGACTTTTTTCTGTGGCTTATTTGAAATCTATGGGGTTTACTCCCCAACCTGAAAGTTTTTTTGATAATTTCTGTCAGGAATTTGAACATATCATTGTTTGACCAATAACGGGCAACATTTTAAACACTTATTGAAATAAAAAGTGATATTTTAGTGTGTTTTTGATTTCTATATGAACAAATTAAGATAAATATTTCGTCCCCCTTAACAAATCTTTTGACGTGTCCCTGCGTTTTCTCTTTTAATTAGTGGTTTTCAATAAATCCGTGGTGGGAAATTTTCTAATGAACACCCGTATAATCCTAAGTACATGAAACCTACAGGAATATTTCACAGTATTCTTGAAAATACAATAGTTCGGTGTGACTGAGTGTATGTCTTATAGTATCAGCTAGTGCCTTTGCTTTGGTTATAAATTAAAACACAGTATCTGTATGGTTTCTGTTATGAGACATTTACTATGTTTTAATTTATTGTCGTGTCGATACTGTAATCGATGTTAAATTGATTGTAAAAATGCTATGTTTGGTAAGAAAAAAATGTTAGGTATTTATCATGACGTATACTGTATTTTTTTATCGAAATATGATACTTCTACGTGCTTTTCATCTTATAATGACAATATCTCTTTTTTGCATTTTTTGCACTTACTGCGTTGTGGCGTATGTCGTCAGAACTGCTGGCAAAGGCTATGCCTTATCATCCTTTATAGTTTCCTACGCAGTGGCGGCTCTACCATAAGGCCGCATGCCCCCCCCCCCCCCCCCCCCCCCCCCCCCAGATAAAATGCCGTTAAAAAAGCATTGAATACAACCATTTTTATTTTTTTTTTCTAATTAGCTAACATTTTATTGAACATATTATATATTAAACGTCACCCTAATTATTTTGTAAGAAATCAGTCGATTTTATCCTTATTTGCCCGGACTATACGGGCCGCATCGAACCGCGCGGCCGCACGTTGGTGTTTTCGAGCGCTTTCGATACGACTCGGTTAGAGTCGAGGTAGAATATTAATAGCTATGCTAGGGCGCATTATTTTTGCTTCCTCGCTGCGTCTCTCCATTTGTTGTTTACTATTGAATATTGATTACGCGCTGCATTTTTAGTGTCGGGTTTTGTTTTATTGCAGAATACAGTAGCAAATGACAATGAATAGTGTCAGTAACATTTTAAAAAATGATTTTACGCGTCTGTCCCTTCAGAATAAATTAGAAATTAAGCAATTGGGCAGACCTTTGCCGGATTTAAAGTTAACGCAAGTGAGTGAACGGAAGGCAGAAAAAAGAAGTTTTACCCGTCATTTTTCTAAAGATACATATAAAAAAAATAATTGGATATGTGGATGTGAGGAGACAAATTTATTGTACTGTTTCCCCTGTTTATTATTTTATAATGCCGCGTCAGGTATGGACTCTAGTTGGTCAAGGACGGGAATCAAAGACCTGCATCATCTTCCTGAAAAGATTAGAAAGCATGAAGCTTCCCGAGGACACATTAATTCGTGCACGGCGCTTGCAGTTCTTGGTAAGACAAATATAGCATCACAAATAAGTTCTGCTTATAGACAAAGTATTGTTGAACATAATGAAAAAGTGAGAAAAAATCGGCACATTTTGAAACGGATTATAAGCTGTGTCAAATTTTGCAGTGCCTTTGAATTGGCACCTAGGGGTCACAATGAGACTGAAGAGTCTTTGAATCGAGGAATATTTAGAGAATTAGTTGATTTTACCGCTGAGTTAGATGAGGCCCTTAAAAATCATTTACAAAATGCCACGGTATTCAAGGGAACTTCTAAGAGCATTCAAAATGACATATTAGATAGCATGCTACAAGTTTGTAGAGAAAAAATTTTGCATCAAATTAAAAACGCAAATTTCCTGTCAATTCAATGCGATGAAACGACCGACATATCAAATCAGTGCCAAATGGTTTTAATATTCAGATATTTCCACGAAGGCGGCATACAAGAACTTTTTTGGAGTTTTTTGAGAGTTAAAGATAAGACATCAGTAGGTTTAAAAACTTGCATAGAAAATGAAATTGATCCGTTTCTTTTACAAAGTCCTGAAAAGTTGATAGCACAAACATATGATGGTGCGAATGGTGGTTCTGTCGGTGGGGTTCAAGTTCACATTAAAGAAAAATATCCTAATGCACATTTCATACAATGTTATGTCCATCAGCTAAACCTTATTATGCAAAAAAGTGCATCACAAAATTCAAAAGTACGTGTGTTTTTTAATAATTTGTCGGCCATACCAGCTTTTTTTTCGAACTCTACCCATCGATGTGATGTTTTAGAAGAAATTATAAATAAGAAAATCCCCAGAGTAGCTGCTACTAGATGGAACTATAACATTCGTACAGTTAACTTTGTCTATGAACATCGTGAGAAGCTCATAGAGGTGTTTGAAGAAATAGAAGAGAGATGTAATAGAGGTGTTACTTTAAATGAAGCTTCAAGTTTGAGAAGAGCGTTAGAAGATCAAGAATTCTTGTTTTGGTTGACAGTATTCCATAAAATATTTCCGCATGTTGACATCCTTTATAACCAGCTGCAGTCAAGAAATCAAGATAGTGTTCAATTACAAAAGGACTTAGTAATTTTTGAAAAGAGTATCGACAATATAAGATGTCAAATTGATGATATTAAACAATATACCGAAACAAAGTTTGAATCTAATAAAAGAAGAAGAACTGACGACAGTATACGAGGGGTCATTGCCAAAGAAGTGTGCGACATAATAACAATGCAAGTAAAAGATAGATTTTCCTTTCGAGGTCATTTACAGGCAGCCGAATTGTTTAATACAGAGGCATATTTGAAATATTCCCGAAATTTCCCTTCTGGTATTTTGGATGCCGTAGCTACTTTTTATCCAATGTTGTGTAAAGCCAGACTGAAAACGGAATTAGAAGTTATATACTCCAGGGAAGACTTAAAGGAAATCGTTGGTGCTATGAATTTGTTGTCTTTTCTTGTTACGAACAATCTTTGCGATACATTTGTGGAAGTTATAAAATTGTTAAAAATCATTGTGACAACCCCAGTGACCACAGCAGAATCAGAACGTTGTTTTTCAACTCTTAAACGCATAAAGACATTTTTAAGAAACAGTATGCGAAATGATCGACTAAATGCTCTAGCTATGTTGTCAATAAACAGAAACTTGACTCATGAAATAGATAGTTTTGATGAAAAAGTTATGGAAAAATTTATATCTCTAAAAGATCGTAGAGCCGATTTTGTTTTTAAACAATGATTGTTTTTAAATTTACTGTATTATA